AAGTTGTGTATGTGCAGTATCCAACACGCCGAAGCGTCGCTTTCCATTTCCCTTCGTGACAGCTAGATTGTGAAATGGATGACGCTGTAGTGCTCGGACAAAAGAACATGAGTCAACATTCATGATTTCACTATACCGAAAAGACGCACTGAAACAATGTAATAACAATGGGCACAAAATAAACGCTTAAGAATAGATTGCGACTTGTCTTTTAGGCGTCTTTAAGAAGATATCTGTTTCCATATTTGATGCTACCATAAAGTCCTACAGCACGCGGTAATTAGCCAAAGAGTACCACCACCATGATTCCTTCGATCAGCTCCACCCAGTTTCTGCTCCTCTACCTCATCCTCCTCTTCGTCCCCTCTCCGACCGTTGCCTTCACGTGGCAAGTTTGCAGCACAAGTGCCGGCAACTATACTGCCAACAGCACGTATGAGTCCAACCTCAACCTCCTCCTCTCCTCCCTCGTCTCCAACGGTTCCGCTCCTGGCTTCTTCACCGACACCGTCGGACAAATACCCAACCAAGTTCAAGGCCTCGTCCTTTGTCGTGGCGATACTAACCTCACCACGTGCGGTTCCTGCCTTAGCAACGTCACGGTGCAGATCCTCCGGCTCTGTGCCGACAACAAGGATGCCGTGGTTTGGGTTTAAAATATTAATAATAATTAACTACAATGAATAATATGTAATTAATCCCAATATAGCATAAAAATAATGACACTCGGTCAACACATAACAGCTGCTCCAACGAGTTGTTTGCACTGATACAGCTCATGAAAAGTTTATCTACCACAAGCGTCCGATGCATCGCTTTCATTCCACCCATCTATTCCACACTATTTCCGCTCCAAAGCTTCGAAGACTTGTAAGAGCTTTTCTTGGATTCCATTCCTTCGTCAAACCTAAAATGTGACATGGATCTGTGCATATCTGTTTTGATCGCCTACCCGACGCAAGAAGCGTACTGAAAAGGAGAGTAAAATAAAAGCTTAAGAACAATCAACAAACGAGAGAGAATGAACATATAAAATAATCATTGGAATTTTAGTTGCTTTCAAACTATGTGATGCACAAAATTAGCGTATGGAACCATGTGGCCAAATACCTATTTGTTATCCTGGAATTAAGAAGATAAATGAACTCCTTTATGCCATGGTCTTTAGACTCATCATCAATCTCAGCTCCATAATAATGATTCTAACGGCATTTGCTTTACAGACGTCAACGATGACTTCGTCTTTTTGGTACACAAATGGCTAACCGAGAATGGAGACTACATGATTTCTATTTGAGCTGAGTCTCTAATATAGGACTTAATTGGCATATTTGAAGCTACGAACCCCACAGCACGGGGTAACCACAGATGTTTCCCGGATCAGCTCCACCTAGTTTTTGCTCTTCTACCTCATCCTCCTCTTCGGTCCCTCGCCCACCGTTGCCTTCACCTGGCAAGTCTGCAGCACAAGTGCCGTCTCCTACGGTTTCGATTCTGACTTCATCACTGACACCATCGGATGGATACCCATCCAAGTTCTAGGGATCACCAAGTCGGGTACAATTTCTTAATAAACCTCATCGACTATTCATCATATATTGATTTTCTAATACCTTTTAATTGTTCATTGACATCTTTATCTTCATCAAAGTTGACTCATGTGTTAGTTTATTTATACTCATTCATATATATAATCCTACTCATTTATATCTGATGCAAGTATAAAAGTTCCTACTTATTTATATTTGATGCAAGTATAAAAGTGACTAGTGTGATTAGATTGTCCTGGGAGTTAGTTTGGATATATTTTTATTATTTCGTTAGCTTTTGAATATAAAGAAATATAAAGTGAGGAATATAAAGAAACATTAAAATATTTCTTGACTTCACTTTTAACAAGTTTTACTTTCACTTTTAACACAAGTTTTACTTTCTTGGCTCCGCTTCATCTTGAATCAGAACTCATAAGCCATCAATATATCTTTCAATAAGTTGTTCTTGAGTATTATTTTGAACGAACAACTTATAGAATTTTTTAGTATAATCGATGATGATTTTGAATATAATTAGATAAAAGAAAATTATAATATCACCTTGAATGATCATTTATTTGTTATCTTCGCTTCAATTAAAAGAAGATTAGTATGAAGCCATTTACTTTCGTCTTCATGCTTACTATTAGGAGAAGGGAAAAAGGAAAAAAATGATAAGGACATTTATGTCCTGCTATGGAGGAGTATATTAGGAATATTAAAAATATTAAAAATAAAATTATAGATAACAAAAAGGACTGCTAATAGAAATCTTTTTATTTTTTATTTATATCTCCAGCTGTAGAGTAATTCTATTACTACGAATACAAAAGATAATTGGTTGACTCTATCACTCGTAAAACTTAAACATATCATACAATAATTTATCCGGTTAGATACCAACATTAAGTAATCTATGTAATTTGACCATGGGACTCTTTCTTTAAATTATTCTTAAATTTTTAGGAATTCTATTTTACAAGAAACATAGTTGTTTTTTCAAAATAAATTTGTGTTCAACAAACCAAAATTTTTTTTTATGAGAGTATAGACTTCTTATGCCTATCATTCGGGTGCTAAAGATTGAAAATTGAATAACCATCTCGAGAAATATTTTCTTTGGTAATCAGAATTCCTGCTTGAGTTTTTTTGGTCAACAAACGTTAATTTCTTCAACATATTTAATGACCACAAAATAATTTTCCTTGACTGCCACAAAATAAGTTTGGGAAGTGACTCAAAATTGAGTCGGATTCGGGCTCGAATCGAATCAACTCGGGATGTTGACCGAAGTCAACTTCTCACCGGCCCCACCTGCGTTCCTCGCCGCAGCCGTTCCCGTCGCCTGCGTTCACACAGTGCACCGCCGCACGCGGGGGCGTTTCACGCTCGCAGTCCTCCCCGCGGCCGCAGCCCGCTGTCTTCATCGCCGCCTCCCCGTGTGCCCGCACCGGCCCCCGCAGCCACAGTCGCCGAAGTCGTCCGCCGCAGCCGCAGTCGCCCGCCGCAACCGGCCACGTGCAGTCGCACCTCTCCGCTCGCAGGCGGCGAGCTCTCCACCTTCCCTTGCTCCTATAAATGGAACTTTGGGGAACAACAGCGAGGGAAGCGAAGGAGAGAACAAGGAGAGAGAGGAAGAGAGGAGAAGTGAGTAAGGAGCCCAAATCCGACCAAAGTTCTTCTCCGGAGAGAAGTCCGGTCGCCGATCTCCGTCGCCGGCCGATCACTGTGCTCATTGCAGCACCTGCGGAGAAGAGGAAGAAGAGGAATTTGACTGGTCAACCCTGGTCAACATTGATGAACAGGGGTAATTTTGTAATTTTTGGTTTATTTGGTAAACTTTAGATGTTTTTTTCTAAGGAAGTCAAGATGGTGTTGCGACGCTTCTATGATTCAAGTCTTTGTGATTTTTTTTATTAGTGTAATCAGAATCACGTTAAATCTTTTGTCTTTGTTTTATGCCTTGTCATTCAATTTTTTTTATCGATTTATATCTTGTGGTTAGGTAACCTATTAATCCTTCCAACATATGATACCAGAGCTTTTTACTAGATTATAAGGTTATTAGGCTTCATCGATAGGAACAAAAAAATGGATCGAAACGTCAACTACTACGTGGACGGTAAAGGAGAAAATGATAGAAAAAATAACGTATAATGATGAAGAGAATAGAATTTGATCAAAGTATCGTGATAATCTTATTTATGTGCATATCCAATGAAGTACTTTAAGATATTGCCACAAAACAAAGAAGATTAAGCTTTAATGGCCCTCAAGCAGATGTCTTTCAAACTAAAATTTATGGATTTAGAAAATATGAATGACACCATCAAAGAAGACAAGGCCCTGTTATTATTATTTTTATATAATTTTTTTTTAAAAAAATAATTTTATATTGAAAGAGTACAATTTCTCTCGATATTATGATTTCAACCCTAGTGTCAAAATAAGTTATAGATTTACAGTTGACAATGGAAACTTTCAAAAGTCACGTTGAAGCTTTAAACTTTAGATAGAGAAGTGAGTTTAGGAAAGAAGACAAAAGTAAATCTAAGAACATTCAGTGTTACTATTGCACAAGGAAGGGCCAAATCAAAGCAGCCTGTTGAGCTATAAAAAAAAAGCAACAATCAAAATGTTTATGCACAAACAAAAAGATTGAGACGGAGGTACTTATGGCCTCCACTTGCCACCAAGCCACAGGATGGGCGGCCTTTGGACTCTGTCTGTGTATTCGTTTCATATGACAACAACGGTGTTAGTTCTCCGCTTATAACTCACCCAAAAAGGAGATGTGCTTAAGGGAAGAACTTATGGTGTAAAGTCATCCAAATGGGATCAGTTAAAATAAAGATGTACGATATGATAATAACATGATTATAAGAACCTGATAAAGGTATGATACATTCGTAAATTAAAAAGAGATTTAATTTCA